GACCCTATCTTAAAGTATTGCATTAACTTAATTAAAATCATTCAATAGTTTAAATGGAACTTAAGTAATCGATATTTTGATAATAAAGATTATTATTACAAATAGCAAAATGTATGCATGTAGGATTATTAGGTGCATGGCTTCTTTATCTTATCAGTAGGATGATAGATATCCTAAGAAAATCCTTAAAAAGTTTTTCCTATTATCTGAAATGATTGCCGACTCTATTGATTTTAAGGTTACATGGCAAGCTACTTCCTTCTTTCAACGTACCTAGGGCTTTTTGGCCAGTATATGATCAGAAACTTTCAAGTCTGTATTCTTGTATAAGTAGTGGGTATATTCAAATATATCTATTTTCATATTTTTATCCTAACCCTCTATTATTTTCCTCGATACTATCAACCACCAGGTAAAAGAACGGCTGAAAAAAATGGACCACATGAAGCCGTTGCACATCTTTCTCCGTCAAGAAGTAGACAGAATGCAACGTGTGATCACAAGTGTGCGGACCACTCTGGTCGACTTAAAGCTTGCTATTGACGGGACCATTATAATGTCAGAGAACCTGCGTGATGCCCTGGACAATATGTTCGACGCCAGGATTCCCAGTAGTTGGAGAAGAGTGAGAAATTAGATTTTGATCAATATCAGACTTGCTGCTAGATTGCCTTGTAAACCCCAGTACTTTAGAACCCTCTGACTCAACGTGGATCATTTACTTCTTTCCACTTTATACCAATATAAATGATCTAATTAAATTACCCTAAAACGAATGTAGCAAACTAATGCAAAAAGGTTTTACACATATATTAGTCATTTGGCTTCGATACTATGAAAAAATGCTTTATTAAGCCCCTTCATCTTGTACGCTTCAATAGCTACTTATTAGGTAGTGAATTTTGGCTTTTATTGTGGCATAAAGATTGATCTTAAAGCTGAATTTTGGCACTTTTCTCTAAAATGTGTACACTTCTTATAGGAATGGAATATATTTTTTATGAACTTTATTTATAAAGGTTGAATAATTACAATATAATGCCCTTTAAGTCATTTATAAAATTATTTGTGATCTATCTCTTCATCATTCCTTTCCACAAAATATTTATGGATATTACATTAAATTCTTTCGTAACATAGGATGATTATGGCACATTTCTGCAAAGTAGTGGCAACACATTCTAGCCCCCAGTTATATTCGCATGTTCAGTGGAAGGATATATTTTTTTACCACTCTAAGTTTTGTAATATAAAGCTGCAAATCAGCTTAATATAAAAGAAAGCCTAATGCAGGCATAGAAGGGACATGTTTCCGGTCGACTAAATAATACATTTAACATATCCATGTTCGAAATCCACTGTAGAGGAATTTCAGCTTCTATCTCAAATTTGGTTTCACTTTGTCGATGCTCTTGAACTTACTAATAAAAATATCCATTTTTTAATTGCTTTATTTTCAGATTTCATGGGAATCAGCAACACTAGGCTTTTGGTTTACCGACCTTCTGGACAGAAACACGCAATTTAATTCGTGGCTATTTGAGGGTAGACCGAGCTGCTATTGGATAACCGGGCTTTTCAATCCACAGGTGGGGTATGGATGCGTATTTATGAATAATTCTGGCAAGACAGCGAAAACTTATTATTAGCATCCTGTGTTAAAGGATCTTATATGTTTTACTGTTCCAATTCATGAATTAAAATCTCCTAAATGAATTATCAGTATTGAATGGAGTTTAGGACTTTATATCTTCCGGACCTCATGAATTTGCAAGCGAAAGGCTCTGCGTTCTTGCCAGTTTTTTTTTCTAAATAGCTCAATTATCCAGTAGGCTATCAAACGCAACGAATTATCGCTTCGAAATCAAGACATTTAGTTTTTATAAGTGGTTCCAGATAATCATTTCATAATTTGTTACTGATGGGTATCTAAAGCAGGTATTAAATATAATTTTATCTCTATTATAGTTCAAAATATACCCACTTGGTTATCATCACAAAACTTTCTCCTCGTTATACAATTTTAAATACAATAAGATAGATCGGCATTTAAGGAATAATTAAAAATAAGTTCGATGTCAAGCTTCTCCACCATCTCAATAGAAGTAGCAAGCAAATTTAATATATCTTATAAATAAACATAAATATTCAAAAAGCTGGCAACTCTCATTCAGAGGAAGGAAGAAAGGATGAATAAGAGAAATGAGTGAGTTTCTCTGGGTGTCGTTTTATCCTTAAGGTAGTTATTTCCAGAATGTGCATTCTCTGGGTGTAAATGTGTGGCTTGATTTATCTGGAAGCTACAGTTTCCAGAGCTTTGTTAAGACATTTAAGTTTGCACTTTACCTTTTAATTCCCCTCAAACTGGACGTAAGAGCGTGCCTCAATACCACGATCCGTATAGCTTACACGCATACCAGCTAGCAGCTCTTTATAACACTTTCTCCTTTCTTGCTAGTCCCCATGTAACTGTATTATCTACCCTATCTGCTGCTTCCTTGATCCCTTTAAGTATATTCGTGGTGAAATTAGTACGAAGATCAAGTCTCTTCTGTAAATAATTGGCATTTTATTTATAAGTAAACGCTTTTCTTTTCTCTAAAATGAAATTGTCCCAGGCTAACATAAATACGCTAATTTATTTCTTTATCTTTTGGTAGGAGGAAACATAATTGAGTATTTCAAAATATAGTTGGATTTCTATGCCAAAAGGTAAAAGTCAAATTCTGGCAAAGCAATTTATATTATTTCAATAGCATAGTTATTGAAGTTGGTTGGCCACGTTGTCGCAACTTGGTCTTTTTGTCAGGGGGACTTAGTAGAACGCACCTAGTCCAAAGTCGTCTTCCATAGTAGTTGTCATGATTCCAAACATCAAACAATCGACTTGGTACATTCTCAAAAGTTAAGCCGGCATCATAGTCGGCAGCATCAGTGAGTTTTGCCATTCTCCGCACCAAGCTACGAACTCGTCAGAGACAAGTCAAGTAAATCCCTCGACAAACGTTCTGCTGATAACGGTCACAATATCACTCCTCTTTCTGTCCTGGCCTATCTATATACTCTTTACCCTCTTATCCCACTGCCGCCCTATTACAACTTCTGATTTGTTTACATTCCACTCGTCACAATGTGTGTCCTTTTGTGTCAAATCTAATGTGGCCTCATCACACTTGGTATCCACCCCAAAGTGGATATGCCTTACTTCCTGCAAACTAAGAAACTATGGCCAATATTGATTAAATGGAATATTCAGGTGAAAGACGACTTCGGACTAGGTGCATTCTACTAAGCCGCCCTGACAACAAGACAACGAGGTCAACCCACTTCTATGCATCGAAAAGAAACTGCGACCATACCAGAGGCCACAACATCTTGGTCTTCATATCTTCAATTAAGCAGTTATTATTCATAAATTGAGTATATTTTCGAAGCCCACTCAAATCGAATAGAATCTAAGTGGTCGATTTTGATGTCAACCAAATGCCTGCTTTGTCGACAATCCAATTATAAGTGTGGTTTGGGAGAGGTCTGGTTTGTTTTTAAAGTCAAGTCTGCCCTATGACCTGCTGACCTCTGTAACTGTGTAGAAGAATGCTAACGCCTGGCCAAAGTCCTTACGGTCCGGTATTAGATCCCTCTGAGAATGCGGATGAGGCTCATGCCATTTCAAAACATTAGCCTACCTCAGATGAGATAACCTTCTGGAAGATAAGGCTAGGCTAAATTCGATGGCATTGCAAGGCATATTCGCTTCATTTCATCAACACATAATATGACTTTCTCCTATTACCCCAAAATCAAAAAAGCAAATCCTTTTTGTAAATTTAGGATTCGCGTTTTAAGTGTGGTTTAATTACCATGATGGGTAATAGTTAAATGGTAGGTATTAAATACGAGTTATAATATTATTTACAAAAAGCCGATAAACGTTCACAATTAAATCAGAGTACAAAGTTGTGTGTGATATCTGGTTGCTTAACTTGGCGATAATTGGAAGTAGGCGAGTATATCAAAATGTATTTTGCGCTAAAATGTAGCATTACAACGATCATTTGGAATGCTCTTTAATGACAAAGAAAAAGCGAGTTTGCTGTGGAGACTTACATTTGGTATGAAAATGCAGGATAAAGATATATTCTAGTCCTTGTATTTAATATGGCCTTAAAGGATAGCAATAATCTCGAATATATATTCTCATGCATTATATCCTTTAAATGCTCTTGTATGGAATCTTCAGCTCTTTGTTTCTCTGGAGTCCCTTCTAAAGCACCAATGACATTAGATGAGGCATCTTTAGTGATTCATTTTGCCAATTTGCCGTACAAGATAATATTGAAATTAATAGTCTAATTTAGGACCTAACTATTAAATTCCCCTACTTAGCTGCATCATCAGGTCTCTAATCTCGTATTTTTCCTCGGACATTTAAATGCTGAATTCTCTCTAAATTCATTTTATACACCAATGCGAGGCCACTACCAGTACCTTTGTCTTAAATTGTTTAAGCATAGCTGATTATTTTCATTTATTCACAGAAGTGCTATATTTTAAGATGCGAATACTTGAATTATCATCCCTTTGGCCTTCCATATCTTACTGCTACTTCCATTTTCGTAAATATATTGATCTTTATAG